GTGTGTGTGTGTGTGTGTGTGTGTGTGTGTGTGTGTGTGTGTGTTCCAGCCTGATTTAATTGACATCTAAATCTGGTCAGAGTCCGTCTAGATTTTTCCAACAGAATTCAAGTTAAACAATTTTCAAACCTGAGGTTAGTCTTAAAAACGTTCTACTCATCACGCATGAAAAAGCTTTGAAATCAGTAAACAACGTCTGAATGTATTGAACGTATTGCCTTCTAATAGCAACTTGCCCCGTCATTACATGAACTTTGGCAAAAGCATGATCGAAAATAAAACGTTGTTGTTGTTATTATTATTATTATTATTATTATTATTATTATTATTATTATTATTATTATTATTATTATTATTATTATTATTATTATTATTATTATTATTATGCTTAACCAAAGAATATGGTGAAATCCAGTGTCGAGTACATCTTATCTTTATTTAAAGTTAATATATCCCACTGTTATGAGAGCAGACTTACCATTGGGGTCAAATTGTGTCCAAGCAATGAACGTGTTATAAAAGTATTTAATCAATTTTAAAATGTTAGTCGTGGTGAAGAAATTAGTGAAAAAAAAATTTCGCGTTAATTAAATTACTATGCATAGAATTTACACCCAGAGAGTCAGAATTGTCAGATTTCGAGTGGCTGCTTTTTCAGGAATTTTTTATTATTATATTAGGAATGATAAGTTCACCTGAACTTAAAACTATTGTCCTTAAAGCTGATACAAATTTTATTCCAAAGTATAAAATAATTTTATTCCAAAGGTATAAAATAATTTTATTCCAAAAGTATAAAGTAATTTTATTCCAAAGGTATTAAGTAATTTTGTGTTGGAAAATTGTGAACTTAAATCTCATCATTTTTGTTTTGTTGACTTGGCTTATTTGCTCTGAGGCCCTTACTTTTCTAAAAGAATTTTTCCCCACGAATTTTGTTCTTTCACTGTTAAAACATGGTACGTATCTAATAAGAATGTGATAGCCTTTTCCTTCACTATGCTTTGCTATTTTCATATACACCAGACATATACCCCAGACAACATTGGTCATAGTCTGAACAAAAAGTTACGAATTTTTCTCCTAAATAACTGTTCAAATGATTGAAATAGTATTTTCAATACTTCGTCTCTCGCATTTGTTGTGAACATTGCGAATATCACGTTCATTCATTTGCTTGTTTTAAAGTTTCATTTGTGAGCACAATAAACTTGTCCACGTTGTTTTATTTATCATCTCTACTTTCAAATAGACGAAACAGCTGTTTTCGTTCATCCACAAACAAATCTAATAAACTGAAACCTAAAGTCTGCTGCATAAGTGTACATGGTTTGTTTACAAAATCGTTTCTAATACACTATACTCTTTTAGTCACACGTACTGTGCAGGTGCGTCTAATATCAAGGTGGTCAGTATCTTAGAATACTGCACCATTATGACAATGTAAAGTTGACGGAGAAAAAAGGAATATGTAATAAAATCAGAATATGTGTCACACAGTTCACAAAGATCCTCAATACAACGAGCATGTTAGTCACACAGATCGGTTAGATCCAGGTTTTCTCTGTATTTGTTTGTCTAAGCATTTTCACGACAGCTTCTTCTTTCAGAAAAACTCCGTAAAATCTGCTTTTGTAAATTAAACACGATACACCCCCAGATTATCACTAAACTGTCACTGACGTAATTATTGTATACTGTACGCAAGTGACG